CTAAGACTTCGATAGACCATTGAATCGACGCGGAGGCGAGTACCATGATAGGAATCGGTCCCCGCCACCTCCGCAACGAGAGAGGGAGAGAGAGTATAAGAGGAGGAGTAGTGTGAGTCCTCCACCTCCGGTGCCTTACAGAGACAGGAGACATTCGCCGCCCCCGAGGTGGTCGCCTCCGTATAAACGATCGAGGAGGGAGGATGGTGGATATGATGCCAGGAGAGGAAGTCCTAGAGGTGGATTTGGAGGTGGTGATCGAAGGTGAGCTGGGGTTCATTGATTGATTTTGACTGGGCCTTTTCTTATAGGTTTTGTCGAGGAATCTTGAGAATCACGTAGGGAATTTTGGCAGTTATTTAGTTAATTGACGGGGTTTATATTTATCAGCCAAAAAGAAAATAAAATAGGAGAAGAAATATAGTATAATATAAAATGTCGGTAGTTATTTAGTTAATTGTGTTGTCTATGGATTGTGAGGGCTGTGGGTTTTATCTTTCTTTTTGTGTAATGCAGTAATCTGATTTAATTTCAGTATGGTCGTCTCTTGATTCAAGTTCGGCGGGTTTGATTAGAATTGACTTGAGATTGAATCTGAGTTGAAATTTATATTTTTAAATAGTTAGTGATGAATTGACTGTTATTAGACTTATTAAACCTCATAGTGTGGGCAAGGTGAATCTTGAAGTTTTATCTGGATGGTTGAATCTGCGTTCCCATTCTTTTTTTTTTTGTACCTTTTTCTTTATTGTCGCAGTTCGCAGTTCAAGATTCACCATGTTAATCAAGGCTGCACCTTGTATATGTGCATAGGAAATGATTGCAATATTTGCTTGCTTAATTTTTGGCTTGGCAAATTCCTTTATGCAATATTTGCTTAACATATTGGAAACTTGATGTCTGGTGTAGGTTTGGATATGATTATGGTGGTGGATACGAGCGTGAGATGGGAGGGAGGCCAGGGTATGGTGAAGAAAGGCCTCATGGCCGATACATGGGTCGTGGAGGTGGATATCAAGGTGGTCCTCCAGGTACATACTCAACTGCTCCCAATGGCTTTGTTTAAAAATTCTAAATGTGACTTCATGTGCTCTGCAAATTTTTTGTGGTGGATAGATATAATGGAAGATACAAGGCACTTATTTGCAAGCCACCTTGCCAATAGTTAGCGACCCAAGTTAAAGACTTGAATTGATTAGAGCCTCCTGTATCCATATTTATATCTGTATTTTAATGCATTTTTAGTGACTTTGGTTTTGTTACAAGGTGTTTTCTACTGAAAATCAATGATCAAACTAGATCCCTTAGGCAGCTTACTGAGGATTTTTTTTCCCGCTTGAGAAAATCCAACCATAGAACAAAGGGCAGAGCCACATATATGGAGTGATTGCCTTTACTTTTTCTACTATTAAAATGGCATCTATAAGGAAGTCAACCTTGTTGTTTTGCTCGTACTATTTGTTGAAGTGGAGCTGACTGATTCAATTATTGTTACAGATTGGGAATTGGGACGTGGTGGCTATGGCAATACTTCCAATGTATTGCCTGCTCAAAGGTTAGTATTTTGTTGTGTTATAGAGACTAGCTCTGGATGGAGATGAGTCTATTCTTCATTATCAAAATTTGATGTTTCCATTGCTCATAATATTTATGCTTATCCCGATTTGAGACTGAGTTATATGGAAAAATAAATTGTATTTGCCTTATCGTTCAAAAATTAACTGGAGTGAATGCTCACAGGTAAATTTCCCTCAACTTCAGCACATCTCCTTATAGGCGGCTCTGCACTAGATCTAAATTATTTTCTGATTTTGAAAGAATTTCAATATCTGTGGTTTGAGCAGGGATCTGTGAAAATTAAATGCAGTCTGGTTTAGTTAGTGTATTTCGGACTTTGTATTTGCTTAGTCGAGCAACATGTTTCCTAAGGTTGTATTGTTTGAAATCTGAATGTGAACCTTGTTGGTGCATGACAAAGACAAAGTAGTGTAGGAGTTATATGAACATGAATGTTTCTGTAACATGAAAATATCCTAGTAGCACCTTTTGATATGTGAATGAGTTGGTTAGACATAATCTTTTAACAGTCTCTCTCTCATTGTTTTCAATTATATAGATAAGGAAATTTATGGAAGTTGAGTGGAGACTTCATTATGCTTGTTGTTCTCACGAGGTAACTTTATGTTTTTCAGAGAAGGCTTAATGTCATACAAGCAATTCATTCAGGAGCTTGAAGATGATATATTGCCATCTGAAGCTGAGCGCAGGTACAATGTGGATTTATTTTTGGACTCTTTATAGTTGAATCACGAGTAAAAAATGTGAATGTGATCATGGCCTTTGATTATGCAGATATCAAGAATACAAGTCGGAGTATATTTCGACTCAGAAACGGGTTTTCTTTGAGGCCCATAAAGACGAAGAATGGTACTTCTCTTCCCTCGGTTAGTATCTGCCACGCAGTTGGCTTCAGTGAGCTAATTTTAGTTGTCTATATGCAGGTTGAAGGACAAGTATCATCCAACGAATTTGGTTGCAGTCATTGAAAGGTATGTTCTACCCTCCATATTTTATTAGAAAAAATTTTCATGATATGATATTAGGTTTGAGTGTGGGGTCTGTGGGCGTTTAATGGCAGCCACTGCACAAACCTTTTGGTGTTGTTTGATTGTTCTTTGAAAATGCTATGTAGGAGGAATGAACTTGCACGAAAGGTTGCGAAAGACTTTTTGCTTGATTTGCAGAGTGGAACATTGGACCTGTAAGATTGGAATTTCTCTCCTTAAATTTGCATAATTGCACCTTGCATGCCCTTACTTTTATCTTGTCCAACTTAAAGTTTTCATTCATACTGTAGAGGTCCTGGTGTCAACGCGATATCATCAAATAAATCAGGGCAGGCAAGTGATCAAAATTCTGATGATGATGCAGAGACTGGTGGTAAACGAAGAAGGCATGGTCGACCAACTGCAAAAGACACTGATCTTTCAGCTGCTCCAAAGGCTCATCCAGTGAGTTCAGAACCCAAGAGAATCCAAGTTGATGTTGAACAAGCACAGACCCTTGTACGGAAACTTGATTCTGAAAAAGGTGTCGAGGAAAATATTTTAAGTGGGTCTGATAATGACAAAATGAGTAGAGAGAAATCCCATGGAAGCTCCACTGGCCCTGTTATCATCATACGAGGCTTAACCTCAGTCAAGGGCCTCGAAGGTGTGGAGCTACTGGATACACTTATAACATATCTCTGGCGAGTCCATGGATTGGATTACTATGGAATGATTGAAACTAATGAAGCTAAGGGTCTTAGGCATGTGAGAGCTGAGGGAAAGAGTTCTGATACAAGCAACAGTGGAACTGAGTGGGAAAAGAAACTTGACTCACACTGGCAAGAGAGATTGAGGGGTCAAGATCCTCTAGAAAAAATGACTGCTAAGGAGAAGATAGATGCTACTGCAGTTGAAGGTTTGGATCCATATGTCCGGAAGATTAGAGATGAAAAGTATGGGTGGAAGTATGGTTGTGGAGCCAAGGGTTGCACAAAGCTCTTCCATGCTGCTGAGTTTGTGCACAAGCATCTCAAGCTGAAACACCCTGAACTTGTTATGGAGCTGACTGCCAAAGTGCGGGAAGAGCTGTATTATCTAAACTATATGAAGTAAGTAACGTCTTTCAACATGATTTTTCTTCTGCTGATGTCATTTATCATGTGACAAGCACCCTATTCTCATTTGCAGTGATTCAGATGCACCTGGTGGCACACCTGTCATGCAGCAGTCCATGCCGGTATGATTCATCCAATCAATAGTAGTCAGTGATCTACATGCCTGTTTATATTGTCTATATGGTTTTCTCACATAAAATCCAGACTTACATAATGTCAAATATAAGGGGTATATCTGTGTAAAATAAATGTTCACTGCGTATGCCTTTGTTGTTTTTCCTCTTCCAGCTTCTTGAGTATGAGCTAACAGGATTTTAGCTTATCCAAATTTCTCCTATATCTAGTTCGAAATCTTCATATTTTTTTATGATGGAGCTGCTAGCTATACTGATTTCCATTTTTTAATGCATTCTGTTCGATTGGGGTGGGGGTGGTAAACTTGTTTTTGTTTCAACACGTAAACAGCATGAATGTGCTTGCTTCAAAGCCAAATATGGGAGTTGAAATGTGAATATTAAAAAAGCAAGAAGGAGCAGTCTATAACAATTAGAAGGGGGTCCTTATATTTTCATTCATGGATGTGAGAGGGTGGATACTGTATGCTATTTAAAAATGTAATGCAAGGTACCTTTCTTATAGAGGATGAATGGCAAAGCAAGGCCTGATAATAATTTTTAGATAGAAACTCGAAGATCCCAAAAGTAATAATGATGATTATGGCTGTGCCAGAGATGCCCCCCTTTATCATATTGAGTTCCAGTTCTCTAATTCCCTCCATAGTTTGATGTCTAGCATCTGTCTGTTCTGTATGCACACTCTTGTTTCAGCAATACAAGTGTACACTGTACTCGTATGCACGTGGAGATGTTTCTATAAACTTTTACTTCTCTACAGCCTGTCTTCTTTGAATATTGCCTTTCGACCTTGATTTTATACTGCAAATAAAGCAAGTGAATGAAGAAAATTTTTATTTTCATTTTTTTTAGACTTTACTGAAAGAAATGAGGTCTCATAATTTCAAACTATTATCTCTCTTAACTAATGCCCTCTCTTTGGGAATCTGCGTTTTTGATTCATCTCCGACCATTAGAGCATCTTAGTCAAGTGCATGGGCTTCTTTTTGCCATGACTCCCATTCTCAGTTGGGAAAACAAGTCATATATGAAATAACACGCTGATGGAAGCAAAATCATACCCATGATTCTTTTATGTCTTTCACAGACACGTGTATAATCCACAGTGCCATTTAGGTTGAGTTTCAATGCTCATAGAGTCACCAATAAAACATTATTTAAGCTGTTTGTCCAAAACATTCTGATGATCTGTTCAAAAAAAAAAAAAACTATATTGATAGGTGACTCTCCCTACTTCTAAATGAGTAGGGAATGATGCAAGGTAGCCACTGCAGCTATCATATACATGTTCCCTCAATCTGCAGTCTCATTTTTTTGTCAATACTTGTTTTGCTAACTATGTTTTTCACGATAGTATTATGATTTCTCCCTATCATTCTTGTTTATGAATAACCACATGTTTTCATTGCAGAAGGACAAGCCACAAAGGCGCAGGCTTGGTCCGTTGAAGGATGAACGCGGCAACCGTAGAGAACGTGACAATAGAGCAAATGGCAATGAAAGGTTTGATAGGTCTGAAAACCCACAATCAGGTGACTTCCAATCTAATGATGGTCCTGATGGAGGAAATCGCGATGAAGCAATGTTTGATACTTTTGGAGCACAAGGCATCCATGTACCTTCCCCTTTCCCCTCAGATATAGCTCCTCCACCAGTTTTGATGCCTGTTCCTGGAGCTGGGTAGGTTGAGAGTTTGAGCAATGCTTTTGTTGTTGTCTTAGTGGAGATATTTCTGTACTCTTGCTGTTTTTTTATTAAGAGCTTGCTCCGATGACTTGCAGTCCACTGGGGCCTTTTGTTCCTGCCCCACCTGAAGTTGCAATGCGCATGTTTAGAGATCAGGGTGGTCCCCCTGCGTTTGAAGGTGGTGGCAGAAATGCAAGGCCTGGACCCCAACTAGGTGGGCCAGCCCCAATTCTTCTATCACCAGCTTTCCGACAGGATCCTCGACGTATACGCAGGTAACTTTTGTTGCAACCTTTTCCAACAAAGTTTTTGTTTCTTGTGTGCGTGTAAGCTTTCCGTGTTGCCTTTTCCCCTTCAGACTTCCCTTTTGTGCAATATATTAAATTAACCTGAATTCATGTCATTAATCAGTGAAACATTTTGATCCATTAACATGTTTGGAATGGGCATCACTTAGCATAAGCTGGATTAAGATCCATGCCAATAAATTCAACGTGACACTTGCCATGGATTTCCTGACAAATAAGTGCTATGGTGTATGCTGTATATTGTTTCAAAAGACAGTTGTAGGGTGATGGGCTGAATCTTGATTATAAAACATAAAGATCTGCATTTTTTTTTGAAATTCCCCTGAGATTCACAGTTGCATTTAGTTACAAGTTTAAACCTGCCAGCATTGGGAAGTTATTGTTTAAAAAGATCTTGTGCTTGACATGGTTCTGACAGACAATCTAGTAAGAGCCTTTTCAGTTTAATATCTATTCCCCAATCATGACGTGATTCCCCTGGAACTTTGAAATTTTTGTAGCTATCAAGACCTAGATGCCCCGGAGGATGAAGTCACTGTTATAGATTACAGGAGTTTGTAGGTGTCACTGGTGGATCACAGAAAGACTTTCAGATATGGATTCTTATTTTTGGGCGAAGGTAGTTTATGTGCTAGGTGGACTTCAGTGACATAAAGCAATCCAACTGCAGAAGCGTCACCTTCTACTTAATGCTATTAAGGGCAGCTCGTCATTGCGTTAATCAGTAATCGGTAAGGCTGCAACACTTTGATACGGATTCTGATTATGCCAGTGATGAAAGGTGGCCCTGATATATTTTTTTTCATCTCTGCCCACGTTTATTGTCTTGAGAAGCTGCGCTGTGTATTTTAGGGGACAACATACAATATTTGACGAAATTGTATCTGTAGAATGGACTTTGTGCAAAGCAGATTTGTCAATTTGTTTGCGATTTCATAGTTTTCAGTTAGCTTGAGAATACTTTTTTTTTTTTTTAGAATAAAACAAAGGAGGTCCTAAAGAAGTGCCAGATGAATGGTGGAGTAGCTTATTAAAAACCTCTTTCTTGTAGCCTGTCCTGGACAGTGCTCGTTTCAGTAAGAATTGGGCATTTTGGCATCGCAATGTTGAGTAGAAGCTATTTTGTTATTTTCTGCACTTTCTCGAGGAATACACGGAAGAACTGGTATTGATTCCACGGACTTTAGGCAGAAAGAAGTGATCCTCATCCAATGAAAAAATTTAAGGCAAAAAGATGGCTATTTTTTTTTTTTTATTTAAGGCAAAAAGATGGCTATTTTTTTTATAAAAAAATAACCGAACAGATTATTTGGAAAAAGCATCCATCTTAAGTTCGTACCAGTCTTGCCTCGACTTCCCAACGATTGTTGGTATGAAGATTAGAGCAACCCGGTGCCAGTATCTGGCGTAACATGAAGCATCTTTGATCAATTCTAACTGTACTTGGGGAAGGATTTGGAACAGACGAGGCATCTGGGTCACGTAAAAACCAAAAAAGGTAACTATTTGATGCCTCAGTTGTTTTACAATTCTGACACGCTACATGTACAAATATGTTACAAAACAAACAAGGGTGCTGTGACGGGGCGGGGGGGAGGGAAATAAAGGGGCAATAGGCGGACATGCCCGATTCAAAGGGAACACCGATAGACAATATGATGAACACACTTCCTCTGTCGTTCAAAACAGTTTTGGCTACCTGGAATTTAATTGACTATAAACATAAGCTTTCACTTCCGATGCTTCTTTGATGGAGGCTCTGCTTGGGGCTCAACCTGCTCAACATAAACAAACTTTATGTAGGTGCATTGAAACTTTGAAATCTGTAGCTTTGATTTTTATTTTTTATTTTTATCTTGGGGGAATTACTTCATAAAATAATGTTGATATCTGAAATTTGTCTGGCTGCATTATTCTAACTCAGATAAAATAAATTAAAAAAAAAAAGGGAACAAGAGGCGCAAGATGCTTCACAACACAGATCATACTGTTCACAGAAATTCTAGCTACTCAGATTATATGCAGATGAACAACCGTCAAGATCAACACAACCATGGACAACCGACCACCTGTTGAGATCTGCCAATTTAAGGGCTGAACAAGCTAAAAAATAGACCATGCTAAACTTTTCAACTTGTGCGAACAGACTCGCCATTCAGATTTTACAAGGTAATGGCAAGATAACATACTATGCAGACAGATTGTGCACGCTACTTATCTTGTAAAAAATGTAGGACGAGGTTCTTTATTGGAATAACCTCTGTTCTCATACTATGAAAGTTGAATTGTGCAGGCAAAACGTTCATGTAAATGACCAGCATTTAGATGTAATCATGAAGCATTTACTTTACCTCTAAACCTAAACATAAGTTTCTTTTCTTCTATGATAAGGAGAACAATTAGTAATGAAAATAGCAGATGTACAATCACAAAACAGAGAATATGACAGCCTCTAAACTAGGGTGCAGTAAACTAGCAAACCCAAAAAATTAAAAAGCTCAAGTAGCCCAATCATGTCAAATATTGGCTAACAAAACACCCATTAAAGGCACTAGAAGCATGAGACCATGACGATAAAACATCCTTGAAAATTATGTGAATTAATTAAGGCTACGGTACATCCCTGTAAATAAAGTGAATTGATAATATGTTCAAAATGATTCCTTCAAGATGTTTAATATAAGCACTTGGTGCAATAGTCATAGCTCCTTGGCATATAAAGTTTCTTAAAAAGTTGCCATAATAACTTGGTGCAATAGAGTCATGGCTCCTTGCCATATAAAGTTTCTTAAAAAGTAGTGTTAATAACAATGCTCTATATTGGATAATGCAAACCTGTCAGTACCACTATTATGATGTGTTACAAAAGGTATCTACCATGTTTGTCCATTTTTGATAAGAGGGGAGGACATTCAACTGCCTATAAATGTTATGTTTTGAGAAACAAGGAAATCAGGCAACAATATTAGACAGATAGTGAGCGCGAAAACAGATCAGAACAGAAGAAAAGAAAAATAGATGATGAGCTGTGATTTTGATTCTGGATTCCTAGCTCTGTCGTCTGGAGCTTGAAGAGTCTAAATCACAGACTGGGAACTTTAAGGAAACAGAAAGCTTCTCATCACTTGAGAGATATCCTCTAATGATCATCACGGGTTAGCATATTCTCAACCTTACAAATTTCATCTGAATCAGATAAGAACTTTCAATCTTGAGGCATACACCTGTCCTCCCAAACTAGTTTCATCCAATTGTTTTTTTTTTTTTTTTTAACTATAGTTTAATACAATTTTCAATATCAATTTAAAAGTCAAAAGGTTAAATTAGGTTTAGAGAGCCCTAGTGTTGCTCAACAAATTAGGGCTGGCAGCATCAACTTTCTTGTTGAACTTGGCAGATCCTGAGGAAGTCTCTCGATATAGACTCCACTAAAGGTTCTGCCTTGATTCAACATCCTTGAAAGCTCATTTTGGTAAAACATGGATGGATTGATTTGGTTCTCTCCTCTGTTCAATTGGGGACATCAAGAAACTTGACATGAGGTATTTTTCCTATTTTACAGATTTGTATTTGTTTGATGGACATTGAATGTTCTGTACCCAGCCAGAATCTAATGTTTGATTTGTACTTCACCAAAAAGAAAAAAGAGAGAGAGAGAGAGCCTAATCTGTGTTTGGTAGTCTATATTTAATTAATTTTTTTTTTTGTCTCAAGTCAGTTGTTCTCATTAGCCAATAAAAAAAGAACTGTTCTTTCTTGTTATGTAACATTTTTTGAATTTGAACACTAAATTGGATATGCAATTATTTGTGAGTTTTCAAAAGTGGCAACTATTTAGATTGTGGAAAGTATGTATATAAGGCTTCTCTTGCACAAATAATGAGAGATTGTTACCATATTTCTTTAATAGTTTGCATAACTATTCTCATATGAATTATGATGTCGTCCAGGATGAATTCCCATTGCTATACACACCGATCTGACAGGACTATCTCTTTATCTTTTTTCTACAATGTATGGTTAGGAGATTGTACGGATCTCAGGTCTAAAACTTTGTAACAAAGGGAAAGGCTTTGATGCACAGTCAAAGCTGCCAGCAACATTTATAGGGACAATAATCACAGACCATTTTTAATGCAAGCATTTCCTTTTCTGATAAAATGCAAGGAAACAATTTTATGGGTGCACTAGGGTAGCAGTCACTGCAAAAGATCCATTATTATAAAATTAACATACTTTGTAAGCATAATTCTTTTGGGCCTAGATGGACACTCGGAAAATTTGAAACAAATACAGGCTCCACAAAATAGAAGGGGCAGCATCAACAGTATCAGAAGATGAGAGTTTTGGGAGCTCATGTACCAAAAGTGAAAGAAAGTCACTAGAAGTAAGAAGAGAGTGCTTACAGAAATTGAAAGCTGTTCGCGAATGTAGGCCATTGATCTCAACATGGCACCTAATGTATCTCTGGAAACCTGAAATTTAACCTCTGACTCTCCCGTAGTTGTTTCAGTGTCTTGAAGCTGAAACCAGGAAAAAAATGAGAAGTTTTCCAAATGAAAGTAAACTACAACAAATAAAAGGTCAACATACACCTCAATCAGACCAAAAAGCTATCTATAAGAATGAAATAACTGCTGTGATTATTAAACATTAAAAGTTCTTATACTATGAAGTGGGTAGAACAGGGGCAGAGCTGAAAATTACATTTCTTTTGTTTTCTTTTTGGACCTGGGATTCTTTAAGTCCTAGATCCTATCTCATCTAGTTCTTTTCTGATAGGATTAATAACTCCTGGTGACAAACACATGGACAAAGCTCACCAAATCTATCCTAAAGCACCAGTATTCATGGATAGCTGCTGTCGTTTGGTTTGAAAATGAGAAAAAGAATAAGCATGTTTATAGTACTTGAATTAGAAAGATTTGCACTAGTAATGGGAATCTCTAATGCAAAGAAGACATGGTCTGGGATTTTTTATGGTCAAAAGCCGAGACAGATTAAAATCACAAGGTCAATAGGGGAACTATTGTAACTTCTAAGCCTGATGCTCACGAAAGATTCAGTATAAACCCCAAGGTTTAGGGTACAGGGTGTGCCCACCATAGGAGGTTGAAGTCAGTATGAGTTCCTCAGTTATCAAAAAAAAAAGAGTTGTGCATTGCTTAGGAAATATAATTGGTTCCTAAGCATATCACCCTAGTGGGTAAATGACTAGGGCACTTTCCTCTAGGAACAGGTTCTCTATATTGCATGAGGTCATTTAGAGCCGGTTAAGGGTTCAAATGAAAACTTGGATACCAAGACTGGTTAAGCTATAACATGTAAGCAAGGGAAATTCATCTCAGTAGTTTCCTCATCATTTTTTCATCATTTAAAATGCAAAACCAGTAGTGGTTCCTCCATTATTCATGGAAGGACCTGGAGTTATGGAATATCCCTAGTTCCCTCAATGAATGTTTACCAGTTCACATGTCACTATTTCAAGTTTTTACTCCCTGGAAGGAAGGCACAATTAACTGGAATTTCATTTCTTTCAAAATATAAATGACAGGTAAACACATGGCACCCTTTCATAACTTCCATTTTAAGCTCAAATTCTATTTCTTCAAGGCATGGTAGCAAAATCTGGGCTTTAGAGGGTTCTAGTGCCTTATCTTGCAAATCTTTTTTTCTCAACCATTCCAGATACTAATTCTCCAATAACATAGACAAAGACAAAGACAAAGTGCTGTTCTAATTCTCCAATAACATAGACAAAGACAGACAAAGTGCATATAAGGTTAAAGATTTTATTTTGACTGTGATAGTCAGCAAGAAATCATTAATGACTGGTTGCATATTAAGAGATCACATCAAGGGCTGTTGCCTAATGTTCGTTCTGCGTCACACCTCAGTCACAACTTTGGATATGTGTACAGGTTATTTGCTAAATGCAATAAGTCTTTGATAGCCCTACTCGCTGAGGAACTTCTTGGGTTCAGGAGGGGGAAAGGGCTGTGAGATTGTGCTGTTTGAGAAGGAATGCAATGTTTTATAATTGTTTCAAGTATTTGGATAAAGCCAAATTCTACGACCTCACAACAATTTTATGGCAAGGCTAATCTTGTAGAATATAATTTATTTATTTTCT